CACCTACCCGACAGGCCTGGCCTTCAGCCCCCCTCAGCTGATGGCGCGGGGGCTCCCGCTCCGCGAGGTCCCGAAGCGTCCGAGGACCCGCGGTCTGCGGAGAGCTCTTGCCCCTTTCTGCCCCGTTTGACCGCTAGCTCTAGCTTGAGGCAGGGTGGCTTTGTGTCGGCCGCACTTTCCGGACGGGTCCTGAGACTCAGGGGAATCCACTTCTCTGAGGGCCCGGGGGAGGAGCAGGGACTCGATTGCAGGGACGCCGCCTCTGTCCAGGGTAAGGCTGGCTGCGGATCTGGGTCCCGCTCCCCGCCCCGTCACTTCGCAAACGTGTGCGGAGAGCCGCGGGCACTGCTGGCATGGCATCCGTGAAAAAGACAGACACCCAGCTCCTTTTCGTATGCAGCCGCCCTTGACCAGTAGTTGTGTGACCTTGATCTAGGTTTGGCATAAGATTGGAATAGTACCCTCATTCAGAAGGTGAAGTGGACAGAGCCTGTGGCTCGGTGTCCATCAGATTTTCTGAGATTCAGCCTTCTTTCCAGTATGCCTGTAGCACATGGGTAGATACTGAGAGCCACCATCGATGCGTCTGGTGCATACATGACCAGATGCTATTCTAAGTATGCTATCATGTCTATTTGTGTCACAGCACGTCCTGGACATACGAAGGTAGATCGCGGACATACACCTTGTGACTGTGCCCTATGGAATGTGATTCAGTATACACTGCTTACGTTAGGGTTTCTCGACCTCTGCACTGTTGACATTTTGGGTTCTGATCATTCTCCCCGGTATGTGTGTTTCCTATGCTTTATAAAGTGTTTAGCAGCACCCCTGGCCTGACCCATAAGGTACTGGTGGCACTCCCCAAGTGGTGGCAAACAAAATGTCTCCAGACATTGCCAAAGGTCCCCTTGGGGCCAGAATTACTCCCTGTTAAGAATCACTGGCTTTTGAGAAAGTACATGTGCCATTTGCACATAGTATGTGCATATAACATGAGACCTCGTGAACATTTTATAGTATTTTACAGTAGTAGATAACATTTTTTAAAAATATATTTTTATTGATTTCAGAGAGGAAGGAAGAGGGAGGGAGAGAGAAACATCCATGATGAGAGAGAATCATTGATCAGCTGCCTTCCGCAAGTCCCCCACTGGGCCTCAAGCCCACAACCTGGGCATGTGCCTTTGACCGGAATCAACCCTTCACTTCGCAGGCTAATGCTCTACCCACTGAGCCAAACCGGCCAGGGCAGTAGTAGATAACATTTAACAGTGTGCCAGGTCCTAACTTGAGTGCTTTACATACTTTACCTCATGTAACAATGACTTTAGGAGACAGGTACTATAATTATTCCCATTTTACAGAGGAGTAACCGGAGGCGCAGAGAGAGAGAGAGAGAGTAAATTGCTCAGGACCTCAGTAAGTGGAGGAGCTAGAATTTAAACCAGGCAATGTGAAGGTATGGAGAAAAGGCAGTGAGGGTGAGGAGAGAAAAAAAGTAACATAGTCCACCTGGAAAAAGAAAGAAGAGCCCCTCCATAGGGGAGAGCTGAGGCTGCCGTGTACAGGGGAATGGGAGTTCACCAGGCCGACAGCAGGGAGAGGCAGTTCAGTCGGTGGACATGGCAGGCACCATAGCCTAGAAATACAAGAAATCACAGCATTTTCCTTCGCCGAAGGAAGTACTGGGAAGCGGCCAGAACAGGACCGCCCTCTCTAAATGGGAAGAAGAAGCAAGCTGGTCATGGGACCATTGCCCATCATCCATTAGTGGGAGCGTGCGGAGGACAGTGTCCTCAGGGAGGATGAAAGTGAGTCCCTCAGGCCCCAGAGACACTTTTCATCTCTGTTAAGCCCTCACACAAAAGCTGTGGATGTTTTGGAGCCTATAAATAAATTTCTCCTCTTACAAACTTTGGCCTTGGCATAGACACAGAAGTAAAACTGAAAACACCAGTCAACCTCTAAATTTTTCATTTCAAAATTCACTTCCCAATTCAACCAATTTCTAATTACATGGAAAGCACAGTATATAAACTTGAAGAGTTACTCCTTAAGAATCTCTCCTTTAGATTCTTAGTTTATTGAATCCTTATGGTGGCCCTAAAGTGACTCTTATAAACTTGTAGGCTGTCATACCAATCTGTTTTGCTGTAACCTGATTTTCAGTAAGCTTCTTTTAAACTGTAGAAATCACATAAAAAGCTTAAAGAGTTTCATGAGGGCCCTAGCCAGATTGGCTCAGTGGATAGTATGTCGACCTACGGACTGAAGGGTCCAAAGTTCAATTCCAGCCAAGGGCACATGTCTGGGTGGTGGGCTCGATCCCTCCTGGGGGCGTGCAGGAGGCAGCCGATCAATGATTCTCCCTCATCGTTAATGTTTCTCTCTCCCTCTCCCTTCCTTTCTGAAATCAATAAATATATATTTTTAAAGCAAAAAAAAAACAGTTTCATGAGGAATGACTATAAGTTGAATGTACTTTAATTATTTTGTCCCCCCCCCAGCTTTTTATATCAGACCTATAGAAAAGTTTAAAGAATAGTATAAGATTTCTCAATATACTTCATCATATACCTTTCACCTAGATTGATTATTAACATTTTGCCACATTTGATTTATCTCTCTACATGTATCTATCTACGTGTGTGTGTGTGTATGTGTGTGTGTGTGTGTGTTATATTTTAAATAAAATAGTTAAGCCTAGAGCCAAATTTCTGTTCCTTCCTATGAGGAAGAAGTATAGTTTACAGAGACAGCGTTGAGTGTGGTATGGGTTTTTTTAAAAGCAAAAAAAAAAGTTTCATGAGGAATGACTATAAGTTGAATTTACTTTAATTATTTTGTTTCC